GAATTAGGATTAGTTTCTTGGGACCATTTGAGTTTTGAAGGCTAGGGTCAGAAGGTTTAGGTTTTTGCCTATGGTTTTGGTGCAAGTTTTGTATGGTTTGGAGTTTATATGAAGGAGATACAAGCGCTCAAAGTTAAGGTATTGATTTGGGAGCTACTGTTGCTCTTTTTGGCATAACACACGCGTAAGGACAGCAATTGAGGATCAACGACCGCAACTGGAGAGAGCACTTTTTCAACTATATTTTTCATACGCTGCTTACTGGATTCCAAGTTGGAATAAAGGAGTTATTGGATTTTGAAGTCGGCACATGCAATCTAAGGGTAGTAAGTAAACCGATTTACTAGTGTTTGTTTCTTGAGCTATATCTTGAGCAATTTTGTGAGCTTTTGGCTCAAAATTTCAAGGAATGTGTAATTTCATGTTAGTAAACTTTGTGCATAAGTTTTATGACATTTGGAGTTCGGATTTTTGAGATATAAGGAAAATAGTTTTCGGGTGCTTGTAAATTAGGGTTTGGAGTGTCTTCTAGGGTTTCTTAGATGCCAAAAGATCGGGAGTGAATTTGCGGTTGGTTTTATTTGTGATACAAGTTAAGGGCAAATTCTACATATCTTGTAAATTTGAAACAAACTGAATGGTTAGATCAATAGTTATGATTTTCTAAAGTTCCAAGCGAGAAAACCCTTCGCGGGAAAAATATGTTTTGAAGGGATTTTGTTATATTTGGAGTTTTATACAAAAATAAAAGAGTTTTGGAAGCGAAGAAAAGAATCATATAAAGGTTTAAAGTACACTCTCTATAGCTAGATACCCAATGTATTCCCAGATAGTAAATCACGCCATACGACAACGTCTTGATACTTTTAACTTTTCAAAAGTTGATAATCTTGTTAGGAAAGATTTGGTAATTCATTTGTCAGATTTATATGCAACAATAAAGGTGCAGTTAAAAGAAGCTTAAGAACAAAAAAAGGTCAATGCGGATGTCTATCGAAAGGAACAACCAGCATTCCACATGGGTGATAAGGTATGGTTACTTCATTACAATATCAAGACCACTCATCTTTGTTATAAGTTGGACTATCGAAGGCTTGGATTATTTTCTATTTCTGCACAAATCAATCCAGTTGCATATTGTTTATACCTACCGAAGACAATAAAAATCCATCTAATATTCCATGTATCTCTTCTTGAACCATACAAGACAATGGACATACCAAAAAGAAGACAAACTCCACCTCGTCCTATAGAAGTGGATAATAATGAAGAGTTTGAAGTAGAAGAAGTCTTAGATTCAAGGCAGCGCCAAAATAAATTAGAATATCTTGTCCATTGGTGCGGATATGATATTAGTGAATGCACATGGGAGCCAATAAAGAATCTTGCAAATGCAGCAAAGGCAGTGGAGGCTTTTCATCAACGACATCCATCAAAATCAAGATGAAAACCTTTTTTATAAAAGAAACAAGATCTAAGTAAGATAACAATCTACTTTTAATCCTTTTTTGTAGCTTCTTTGTAGTTGTGATGCTCAAGAGATGGAGAACCAACAACCAGTGGATTCGACTTAAGAACCTTTATTTGCTGACCTACCGGACGAGACATTATAATTGTCACAACCTTCAAGACGACGCAATCAAGATGAAGATCTTCAAGAACGACATGTTCTTCGAATAGATGGTGAGATACAATGCATTTGGTATCACAACATATTTTATTTTGTCATCTTTCTTTGAGAGAAGTCTCACTTGTTTATTTGTCTTTATCATGTTCTTGTCCTTAATATTAGATGAAACATTATAATTGTTACAATCTTCATGATGAAGATCCTCAAGAATGGCATGTCCATCCTCAAATAAATAGTGAAATACAATGTGTTTGGTATTACAACCTTGGAAGCGATTTCTAATATTTGGTGATTTTATTAGAAGTAAAAACGACTCTTGATGGTATTTCAAATGTTTTATTTGAAGGAAGTTATAAACACCTTAATAATAATTAAATAATAGGATGATTTTTTTGCCTTAGTATGATACACTATGAATGGTTGAGAGGACCTATCAACCATGTTCATATGAAATAAAGATGAAAGTATGTAGCTAACACAATTTACTACATCTTGGATTTTTTCAACATATGATGACCGCTCCTCATAGAATTCATCTCTTGGAAAAGGAAGTAAAATCATGGATATACATATTTATTCAAATAATTACCTGTATGATTAAGTAGAATTAAATAAAAGTAGAATAATTTTATAAAATCTTCTAAAGAAGCTTCATAGATGTTGCTTTAACTTTATACATATTTGTAGTTAATTAATAGGCTAAAAATTTAGTCAATAAATTCACCATGTGTACCACGTATTAGTAGCTTGTGGAATAAGCTAATTATATGGCATACATATAAATGGCTTGCCTTGTAAATTAAGACATGTGTTTAATAAAGTCATCACATATTTGAGGTCATGTAGAATATAACCACATAGCTTCTAGTTAGAGAGTATATATAGAAGTAAGAGTAAAGCCTTCTTCACCCTTGTCAAAGTCTTTTTAATCTTTAGTCTTCTTTCAAGATTTTTTAGTCTTCTTGTCTTTGGCAATAGCCATTTTAGGTCAATATATTACCATCTTTGAGTGATTTTTTAATCTTTTCAAGTGATACAAGAATGTATTGAGGTTTCTTTTTTTTAAGATTTATATCCTTGATAAAATCTTTACTATAATAATCACATATCTTTTAAATAGAAGTTTATTTTATAAATATTATATTTTAAAGAATAAATTTTTTTAGGTGGTTTATTTTTTATTTAATTTGAGTTTCAAGAATATTTTATTTTTATCATTTTAAGTTTAATTTATTTTATTTTTAAAAAAATTAATATCTTTATATTTATTTACTTGATATAGATAGAGCACAATCAACTTACTAAGAGTTTAATATATTTTTTTTTGTAGAAATTCCAAAAATAGTGTAGCAACTCTTTTGGAGTAAAACATACAATCTATTTGGTGAAAAAATGAAGTACTAAATATACAATCTTTAAAAGATTTAGTGGCTCTAATATTTAACTTAAGATAATTAAATTTAAATATTTACTTTATTATATATTATTATAATAATTCTATAGTATATGTATATATTTCTTAGTATGTGTGTGATTTTAATTTTGATTACTTTATGTACTAAATCTTTGAATTTTTTTGCTTTAGATTTATTTTAGAATTTGGATTCATATATATATATATATATATATATATATATATATTTTAATTATTATATATATAAAAAAATTATTTTTTAAAATGAATATTATAAAAAATATACAAATTAGAGAGATACTTTTATAATGATATGATGTTTTTAGTGATAATTAAAATGTTAGGTATTAAAAAAATATCGATGCATCTAAATGACTTAAGATAAAATTTTAGTATAAATCTATTTATATAGATATACATACAACTATATTGTTTAAGTAAATAGTATGCAGCAAAAAAAATTAAAATAATAAATGCATGCATGTAAAGCCAAATAATTGTGGATAATCTCTTAATTCATTTTTATATTTTTTATGATTTTTGGTTTAAAGTATTATTTAAAATATTAATATGTAGTTGATTTATTTATACATAAATCATAAAATATAAATATAGTTATTATAAATCCTGATAAATTCAATCTTAGTCTAAATTATTGTTATAAGTCAATTATAATCAATAAAATAATATAATATGTATTATATATATATATATATATATATATATATATATATATAGATATATAGATTTGATGAAATTATTTTCTTTTAGTTATAAATTATAAAAATTTAGAAATTAAACTTAAATTAAATATAATATAAATATATAACTATTAAAGTCATAAAATTTATATATAAATTTTTTTTATAAAAATTATAATCTCAAGAGAATAAATATGAACCTTTAAAGAATATTTTTTTAAAATAATGATTTTTTATAAATAATATTTGAGATTTAAAAAAAATAGTGTATAAAATATATTCTTTGATGTAATTTAGAGATTTGAAAAAACTAAAAGTTTATATTGGTTTGAGGTGAGTTTAATTTTTTTTATTTTTTTATTTTCAATAATTTAGAATATTATAATTTAGAATAAAATAATTTAAAAAATATTTTATGTATCATTGATATCATAATTTTTCATGTACTTAATGTTGTATTTTTTATTATATTTTTTAATTATCTTTTAGTTTCCATAAAATATTTTAAAATTAAATATCATATATATATATATATATATATATATATATATATTTCATTTTAATGATAATTTTCACTAGTATTAGAGACGTTTTTTTTTGCTTTGGAAGTAATTTGTTAGAACATGTTTTTGATTGATAATGACATACAATATCATAATAATTTACAATTCATAAAAAAATATCAAGACTACTCAAAACTTAAACAAAATAAAGTAGAATACAATGCACAATTACCAAAATAAAAATAAAATAAAAATAAAAAATATATATATATAAGAAGAAAAAGAAAAACACGTGTAACTACAAAATACTTGTAACTGAATATACATGAAATGCGACCACACAAATATTTTAGTGTTGAATCTCAGTTTTTTTTTTTAGTTTAAAAAAAAATTAGAGTTCAAATTTACAATTTTATAAAATCATTACAAAAGAAACAATCATCAAGTTTTCTGATGTAATAAAAAAAATATGTCCGACAAATGCTGTGTACTTTGTGTTGTTCACTTTTCATTTAACCTTTCTACTTTTACTCAAATGCACAATAACTGACACCAACTTTGATTCTCTATCCAATCAATTATTCTCTCTTTTTGTGTCATTGTTCATAGGTAGTTTTTTCCACTCTGTGCTTATACAGTGAATTTTACTTTCGTTTGTAACACTCCAGTGCGTGTTCCCGTCATCGTAACCACATCTATCAATTGCTAAGTAATAAGGAAATATGTAGATAAGTCAAATTCAAGCTAATCCTCATGTTACAACAGTGTTTAAACACAGCTCGCAGGCGCTGCTCCAGCTGCATGAGGTGCATGAGTGCATGCAGCAGGGGAGCCATCGTTTCCATTCGCGCTCAGTGTCGTCTAGGGTTTTGCCCTTGTGTGCGCATCCAAGCGCCTCTTCATCTCGGTGTCATCGCATCGTGAGGTTCGCGGAAAATTGTGCATGAAATACAACTGCTGTGTTGGTTCCCTTCTCCAGGACCATGCAACATATCTAGGGTTTTTCATCGCCAGGTGCTAGCACCGAGTCTCACAATTGGCTTCGTCTGCTGGTTCGCATCTTCATTACGTTCCATTAGCCTTGCATTGGTGTTTTATCGTGATGTGGAACCTCGTTCTGGAGCTTGTACAGACTCTACAGTCCTAGTGAGTGTCTGAGTTTGGACACTCGAGGATTGATGCAATTTTTGAGTTGTTTGCTGCTCTTGTAGGTGGAATTTGAGAAGCTTCAACGTTGAATTCGTATGTAAGGACGTGAAGGATATGATGAGAGAAGGAGCGTAGAGTGGAGAGTATTATCAGCTCCGAGTGACCAGGTTATGGAGCGAAAGTTTCGGATACGGAAGACGGGAGGGAAAGTACCGATTGCATCATGGAGGCGGCGCACTCCCTGCTATACACCACCCAAGAAAGTCCTCTCTATGAGCAGCGACAACGTGGACTTAAGGTCGCCGCCCGATGCAATGATGTGCTCAAGATGCGGTGATGACCCGCTCTTGGTCATGGCCTCTTCAACTGGATACTCGACTGATGCTTTCGACCGTGACGAGGAGCGATTTATCAAGGACCTACAGAAGCCGAAAACGCCACGAAAGAATATGATCAACAATACCTCAGAGCAGGAGAATCTGTCGGCTGGCACCAGAGGTGACACGTTTGTGTTCCAGAAGCGTCATGCAAGAATTGACTGGCGCACTTTGCACACCATTGACGTCAATCGCGTAATTCGTGAAGTTGGTATGAACAGGCAGCCTGCTGATTAGATGTCCTATCTGGTAGTAAAATTACGCTTTAATTGTTGAGGCTACTCGATCCATTTTAGTTTTCGGAATTTAAAATTATCAGCTCTATTTCCATTTTGATTTAGGTCTTGGTGGATAGACTGACGGCCGAGGTTTTGGTTGTTTACTGGTCAGCATATCTAGGATGCGCGACGCTATCACACCAGGCTAACAATAATTTACTTCTACATGGATGGTCCAGACATCGACACGTTGGAGATGGTCCTGGACACTATCGCATTTAGCGACATTCGGGGAGAGGATGTACGCAATTTCACGGAAGCTAACTTCGTCAAGATCTTCCGCCTTGCACAATTAATGGTACAATTCATCCCAAGTCGTTTACAATCGACTTTTTCCTTCGGCCTTAGATTAAAATATCCTCGCCTGTATGTATTTTTTAACGGTCGGGACTGATTCAGTGGACTAGAGCTGTACAGGTAGAATATCTGCTCCATGTTCAAGAGTTGTTGGCGGAACATAAAAGTGAGCTTCTTCGGGCTGGGGCAAACATGCAACAGAAACACGAAAAGATTCGACAACGTTTCTTGTGGCAAAAGCATGTCCTGTTGAAAACTCGAAACGAATTGAAAAAAGTCAAGAAGGTGTTTAGACGTTCATAATCAGAATACTACTCAGGATGATGTGTTCGTTCCTTGTATCGATTTTTCAACGGACTGCCATCAGAATAAACGTTTTATTTCGTAATTTCTCTGTCCACCGGTTTTAAACGACGCATTGATCATTCTGTGCGAGATTGCAGAGTTTGAAAATGAGTGAAATTATGCTGGAAGTTCAGAGAAAGTCTCAGGACTCTAAGCTTAGCCAGCCTCAAGTAAGTTAAAAATTCATGTACATCTGCTTGTTGTATTCTTCTTTTGATTTGATTCATTTGGATTCACTTCACAATGGTTCATGTTTATTACAAATTCTTCACTTAGTTTATGCTTATGAAGGATTGTGCAAGGGGAAATCATCGATCAGATTTTGTTGCAGGTACGGCATTGTCCATTATGTGAGAAGATATTTGAATCCTCTCACTACCTTGTAAGAGCCCCTCAACAAAAGTTCTTTACTAACCCTTTGTCTAAAAACGGAAGTGTTGGAAATCTAGATTTTGAGACGCACATGACATGAAAATTGTTCGTGCAGGATATGCACGTTGCAAGGAGACATCCAAAGCCCCAAGAGGTGACCGAAGAGAAGATTTTGGCTATGATTTCCAAGGCTGAAGAGGTCAATATAGCACAAGTGCACATACCCTTCTTTACTTTCACAAAACTTGAGCTCGCACGTGTGAGGTCTTTTGATTCTACCTTTTCTTATTGAGAAACATACCAGGAGTTTTACTTATTCACTTGTGAATGGCTTAAGTCAATCGACATTCACATGACTTTAACCAAGAATATTATTTTTGGATACAGATGAAGGCAGAGACAAACTTAGCTGTACATACAGAAATCTTAGAACTTCGTGAGAGATACCAGGTTGATGTACCCATCTCTCTAATATTATTCCGTGCATCGTCATGAATAAAAATTCCTCTAATCCGATCATGATGATACCAAGAATATAAATATGGGAAGATGTCAGCTTCCAACTTTCGTGATTGACTGAGACAGTGACATACGATATAATATAGATATATGTGATTATTTATGCTATAAAAAGTTTGAGAAGCTAATTTTTGAATCCTGTCCCTCTGACTGCATCCTTGCGCATACAAGCATATGTCGTTGTGAGATTGTTAAATTAGCTTGCTAACGCTACAGAAGTTGCGCATTCACAGGCAGATTTGCAAAAAGCAGCAACTACTTCCAATTTACAGGTATTTTAATGCAATTGAATCCCATTTTCACTATCATGGTTACTTGCTAGTGCTTTAAATAGTAAACCATAAAAATCGTCGCGATATTTCCGGTAAAGCACACTCATTGGACCTGGTTGAACCTTGTTCACATTTACCTTCGTCATAAGAAACTTAACAAGCAATGATTGTGAACTGCTCAGTGATTGAGCATGAAATTTTTTAACAAGCCTATAACCTCCCAAAAAATTGTATGGTGCTTGGTAGACTACCTGCCTCCGCACACCCTCAACATACTAAATATTCCAACAGGCTCGCAGCGGGCTGTAGAGGAATAGGTACCAAGCTGGTACCTGGTACTGGATGAACGGAAAATCCAAATGTCTCCCTGTACGAAAACATTTTAATAAATCCTAAACGTTTAAAAAATGATGATGATGATAATAATAGTGAGTTTTTTTTTTTTTTTTTTTTTTTTTTTTTAATCCAAAACCCTGAACCTCTTCTGTTAATATTTTAGGGCAGCCCAACAATCGGTTGGCCGCCCGTCATTGAGCTGCCCACAAAATCTGACGCAACTAACCGGCATCCATCTCTGTCGACAAGCATGAATGACGGGCGGATGATGTTAAAAGGTCAGAGTACGAGGTGTGTACCTTTTCTGCGAAATCGGTCGCAGTGGGGCCTCATCGAGTGCTCTGAGCTGAACGATTCCACACATATTTATGCAAAGTCGAAGCCGGGATTCTGTGAATAATCATCTAGAAAAGTAGTGAACTGGGTTATCTGTTTCCTGAAATCTAAAATATTCAGATATATTGCAGGTTCAGTCATTGCAAGCAGAATTAAGGGAAAGTAACAATCAACTGCATGAAGTTCAAACCCGACTTGAGGTTCTTCAAGCGCAAATACTTTCTCCACCTCACGTATGTTTCCTTAATCCAATGTACTCTAGTTGCCCGATTGTTTTCAATTCTCTAATACATGTTTTTAGAGTAATTTAAAATAAAAGTGTCGTTAATTGGTCTTAACTTAAAGATAGCAATTTGTCTGAGTGGGTTAAATTTTTCAGAACGCTCGACTTGGAAATCACTATTCTGTGACAAAATCGAAGGACAAAGATAATATTCCTGACCAAGAGGTATTTTTATGATTCCCGAAGTCAATTCTTTCTAATCCCTTCATTAGCATTTCATTAACTGACTTAATGATGATGCAGTATACTCAAGGGATATTTGTGTTCACCAGAAAATATATGATTCAGAAGGCAAATTTATGGGGTTGGAGCACCAATTAGAAACCCTGGGTCAGGTGATTCTTGCGACACACCTGCTCAGCCTGCTCACTCGCGTGCTAATGTCTGCTACAGTATCAATCATTAGAAGTGAAATTGATTGAGCTTGTACATGATCATACGTGGAATTGGTCATCATGGTGGCTAATTTGGCTAATCTTAGGAACTGATTTAATGTGACGAATACAGGAGAATTCAAGGCTACTGGAGGAGCTAAATGTGGCATACGCTAAAGTAAGAATCCATAACTCAATATCGTGACATGTGTGTTTTCTTCTTTGGCAACCTTCTTGACGTGTCATAGTGGCAGTGAAAAATTGCGCATCTAAAAATTTAATAGTAATTAGTGCACGCAATTTTTTTTATTGTAGACCTTGACAGTTTTTTCTCAACAACAACCAGATTTCTGCAATACAATCGACAAAACAGCAGAGTGACTACACATTGAAGACTCAGGCAATGCTCATGTCAAGAATTGTTTTGGAAATCCTAAGGGCCGTCGCAACCAGTGGATGATCGGCATTATGCTGAACGGACCAGATCACTAAATCTTGCAATTGATTCTTATAATATTCTGTGGACATGATATTTTTCCACTAAGTTGTATAACTGTGTGGCACAGCTGAGTTGGATCTTTCTGTCTTTAACACTTGATTGTTCAATTGATTGAAAGTTGAAGTCTATTAATTCCTTTTCAAAACGACTTGAATTTACATGTCAACCTCAAGCGATTAATGAAACTCTTCCGCTACTCTCGTCTTGGATTTGTGCAACTTTGCAGTTAGAAAATTTGCGTGAAGAAAATCAATACCTGAAAAGAACCATGTCAAAGGTGAACAATGTGGCGGTAACATCTGAAGTCACTGGGCACAAACTTACTGATTGAATTTTGGAGCTTCACATTTCTAACCCCTTATAAAATTGCGCATCTTGACAGTGTCGAGTTAACGAACACTGCGTGGTTTGTTTAAGTGGTCATTTCATGGATAAACCCAGCTATACTCAATCTCTGAATGTGGCATTGTTCTCTCAAAGGAAATTCAATTACGTTTTAATCACCAAACGTACATTAATGCAAACTTGATGGGCTATTCACTGAATGGACTTGTACAACCTTCTGTTTGTGACACGGGAGGGTGATTGAGATTTTGTGTGTAGATTGAAAAGGAACCAATAGCGCCACCTTTAAAAGAGAGACGGAGCGCACCGTCTCCAAGGGTGCACTGGACAAGAGAACCTAAGTGTCAAGCACTTATAGCCCTAGCCCGTCCTACAGCTTGGAGACAGGTGAAGACGGCCCGTGCCAATCATGATGAAGATTCAAAAGAACAGAAATCTCCTCCTGAACACGAACCTTACAGACATTCTACATCACCTGTCCAACGAACACCACGTTTTTCAACTCAGAAAATTAAGTATGAGACTTCTCCAGAGAGGGAAAGGAAGCCTTTAATCTTTAAGCCGAAGACTACAATAGCAGTTGCAAGGGTTTGCTATCTCCACTTTCCTTGAAATTCGAATTCTACTTCATCACAGGGGTTTAATCGATGTCTAAACAAAGCTTCTCATTTAAAATTCACTTCTCATTCTAGGCTGACGTTTTTGCAGGGTGAGCCAGCGGGAGATGAAATCTCAAAAGCAGTTCAAGAGATGGATGCTCCACACAAGCAGAAAAGGTATACTCCAGAGGAATTGTAAATAAATTGTGTCTTTGGAAGTTGCTGATTGCTCAACTTGGTCATTCCTTGTCCACAAAGACATAGACAGAGATAGCACTATATCAAAATTGTGGCACCTGTAGCTGAGACAACAATTACTGTAGGAGCCAGAAAGTTGTCAAACAGCTCGTAGCTAAGGAATTGTTGGAGAGAGTGGAGAAAAAGAAGAAAGAGCGAAATTGTAACGAACGCGCAAGACGTTATAAGCGGGCAATACAATATTCTTCCCCGCATAAATCAGAAACTCCATCTGAAAGTGTAAGTGGTTGACATCATAATAATCTTTTCCAACTGTATTTGGGTAATCACTCTTCTAACAATATCCTTTTGCCATGTAAGTAATCTCGTGTATGTTCAAGTACCTCATTTCATCCTTCTACTCGTTTCATGTCAATGTCTTGAAATGAAAAAATTCTCCTGGGGTTTAACTCCAGTAATCAAAATCGAATTTAAAATCGACTCCTGAGCTTCCTAATGGAGACAGATATCAAGATTTTGGACCAGTCTGCTCTTGTTTATTCTTCATACTAGACAAGGTTGATGGATTTATTGCCATCAGCTCTGTCCAAAATCAGTGATTGACAAGAATGAGGATCTTAATAATTTCGTGAAATTTCCAATCTGAGTTTGCATTTATGGTTAAAATTGGGTTGATTTCATAAGCATTTCTACCTGCTGTCTGATAGAAAACATCCCTCTAAATTTGAAGTTCTCTAGATTTTATTGCCGCAAAATTTTCAAGGCCTTGTGCAATGTATATCATTCGTGGCATGTATGTGGAATACAGGATAATGAAGTTGAGGAACACACCACAATAGACGAAGAGGAAAAGGTGAGAAAATACCATAATTGAAAAATGTAAAGTTAAAGCAAGTTTCTTTCTGATCTAAGTAGTGCACTGCAATTTTCTTTTACGCAGGTTAAAAGAATCCAAGAAATTTCTGAGGTTGCTGCCATTGAAGTTGGAGAAGATAAGCCTACTATACCAATTCCAGAAAAGCAGAAGTGGTTGAGTGAGCATCCCTATATTCCCATCCCTACTTTGTAAGTTTCTGAATCCGACTTCCATATTCATGACCCTTTAATTCCTTTTGTATTCCATTGAATCATATAACTTGATTGCAACCAATCTTGTTCAAAGGAGAATTGAGCCCTACGTTTTCATGAATCTAAACATCCACGGATTCTCCATTGTGCAACCAATTGATTCTAGTATAGAAATTTTCATAAGCATATTATCATATTAATTTTGCAGGCCATATGCAGTGGCAAAGTATCCACATCCAGAGACAGCGTTTGAAAAAGTGCACGAGGAGATTGCAAATGTACACATCAGTTCTTTAAATTGTCTCATTTCCTACCAGTTCACATTTCATTAGCTTATTGTGCATGGGGCGACACATATGACTTATGATTTTGATATAGCACACAATCATTGAAAAATTCTGGTTTAGAGGATTAGCGCTTTCGTCTTGTTTTCTACTGTCATGCTCGTCCCTGAGTTTTGATTTCGATGTGTTGTATACAGCAATTCTGTAGATTGAACGTAACATTTCCTCACACGTCCAGTATTCATGATTTTCCACGTAGGAATTTGATGGCCAACTTCGTGAGGAGCTGAAAAAATTTGGAATACCATCAAACACGAATGGCATCAGGTATGCACACTTCAAAGCATTAACTTCACCTGTGGTTTGAGTGCTACTTTTCTTCCCTTCATTGTGAGCTTATGATATTGTAGTTTTTAGTTTCAGTTACTCTTTTGCGGTGTTTTTCCACTAATTCGTACCTTCGAACAAACCACGTGGTGAAGATTGTTTTAAGTGCACTTTTCTTGCGATGCCTCGCATTTTTGCAGTGATACTACTTACAACTCAATTTCTAGCGCACTGGATAAGCAGCGATCAATGCGTATGTCTCAAATTCATGGTGATGAGCGAAAAGTAATGGAGTATGAGAGAGGCGCTATTCTCTGGCATATGCAGGTAAGCGAATGTGAAAGGTTCTACTTAAGCACTGGAAGCTTCAGCTGAATATTAAAGCGTACCATGCATGATGAAAATCTGATCCGAGTCTCTGTATGCATTTGTTGTCTTCTGCTACCACAGCTTTCGACTTCGAACTATTGTAAAAATTTATGATGCGTCTTCGTTCTTATCTTGATATTGGAACTCAAAAGTTGGCCTTGTTAGAGAACCAACTAACGTGACGAATGATCTATCCTTCAAACGTTTTGGTGTGGGTTGCAGAGAGCTGTACATGATCGTGACATGGAAATAATTGAGTCGCAATTCGACGTCACCACGGCTTCTGGATCTGATCACTTCAGTGATACTAATGCATCTGATGAGAGTGAAGGCGAGGTTTGCAAATTTATAACCTATGTTCAGTCAAGTGTTTATACAAAAGTAAACATAGCTCTTTGCTATTATTGGAAACAAAGATGCTAGGTGTCTACATATGACACACTCTCTTTCATAAGATTGCCTCCTGAGTGATACAACTATTTGTGTTCATTTTGTAAGAAAGTTCATCAGATTGTTGAACGATCTTTTAAAGCCTTCTCTAATTGTCAACTGATGATAGAATCTTCACTGCCAAACGGCAACAATTGAAAACGAGGGGCAAGGGATTCAAGTAACGTGGTTCCTTTGATTTGAGCAGTCTGGTAAGAGTAATTACAATTCAAGCCGAAGCCACCAATCTCAAAAAAGCGACGAATCCGACTCTGAGTTAAACAAGAAAGATAACGGATTAGCTGAACGGATGTCTGGGGCCACGAGTCTCATGAGAAGCAGCGAACAATGTAGTGTGCAAAGCAGTAATATTGGTGATAGTCCACGAAGTAGTGATGTACCAGAGACAACATTTCCATATAAGAATCAAGCTGTCGATCGCGTTAAGAAATCAATTTTATCAAAAGTATGTGGCCCTGGATCTCCATCCTATGGTCTTACGAAAGATATTTCCAGGTGATTTCTGTAAAATTCTCTAAACTCACTCGAAGAGTTCTCTGAGTGAATCAAGAGCGATAAACATTATATGTGTGGCTGTGTGATCTACTCACGAATGCTCTTAACACCGCTGTACATACTAATTCTAGATTGGTATTTAATGATCAGAGCTTTTTCATGGAAGCAAAACCAAGTAAATATCACCTACAACAAACAGGAGTCGTTAACACAAGCACAACACAAAAGATCTACATCTGAAACCACTGACACCGCTCGGCAGTCTGAAGTAGGGGAAGAAGTAGAAGAGGCACCCGGATTAGGTGATTGGGAAAGTGATGAGGACGCAGTCCCAGTGAGCGTAAAGCACACGTAAGTGAATATCTAAACACCTGAATGTGTACAAAGAGACGAAAAATTTTCCCCTACAGATCTCTCTATTTTTGTTCCAGATATTGTCGTGCTTTTGTGGGATAGAGTAATCCTCTTGACTAAGGAACAGAATCTTGTGCAAAATACAGTAAGATCCCTCGGCATAAGATTTTCCGTTCAAATTGAGAGGAATTTATGTTGAAGATGTAATTTCAGTGACAACCTGAGCACGGTACTTTGTAGGCACATGCCGTAGCTTACAGAGAAATCACTTGATATTAGCTTATGTAAAAGTCGCACTTGACATCGGTCTGAAATGGTGCCTTTGACAGACGCGTTAAAATTGATGACCACAAGGTTGTGTCCGCGTCAAGAGGTAAAGCAGGATGCCCTCCCCATTGTTTCCTGTGAATGTATTCAATAGCTGTGATTCCCGTGTATTTGATTACGGATTTCCATGCAACGATCCATTTCATATTACGCATGGTAAAATCTAAGCAATTATCTAACTAAACAAGAGATCTAGCAGAATTCTTCTAGGCAATAATTTGTTGAATTTGAATCCTAATTGCAGACTCTTTTGTTCGCGACTTATCACCTCCAAAGGAAATATTGGATCTGCATCAATCAAAGTCAACTATGGCATCCTACTCCTACAAATCAACTCTCCCACAAACTAGTCCCAAGTCGTTTACAGCAAATTCAAGTGAAAACAATGGGTGCATTGCTAACTCTGAGAAACCTCCTCCTCCTAAATCGGCTTCTATTGACCAGGATGAATCCTTTGAGAAGAATGAATGCTCATCGTATCCTTTCCAGTAATTCAAAATTTGTTTTGTAATATCATCAGTCACAACCTGTGAAATTATCAACATATTTATTCCTGTAGATTCAGCAGAGGTAATCTTCACCATCTTCTTACTTTTGGAGGTTACGTTTTTAATGAGGGTGTTTGACGACTTTGACAAAACTGGTGCCAGACAAGAGAACGCAGAGGAAGAAGCGGAGAACAATGAGAGTGATGAGAGTGACGAGGGTAGTGAGCTTGAAGAAAACAAGATTTTCAAGGAATTGACTTCTGAAATTGATGAGATTATTAGCTTATAATTTTTTTTCTTAATTTGACTGCCTAAATCATACACGTTTTTTTGAATTTCAGGGACTCTTAATTAAGGTACGAAACTGTGGAAAATCTAAATGTAACTCAACTGTTCGCCAATGTACAAACAGTCCTCTTTCCAGCTTAGGATGCAGAAACAGACAGTATGACACAACAAGTCGAGGAACATCGGACTTGCTTGTGAAGGAAATTTCCAGATGTGTAGAGAGACGTGTACCCAAAGGTGATGAATTGCTTCTTGCCTTAGCCTGTTTCACAATCCATGGTCACCAACCATTCATTCCATTAATAGCAAAATTCTCAGTAACGCTTCAATTGTAGTTTCTAATTAATGACGATAACATTCCATACAATGAGTGATATAGCATTCAGATTAGCCGGAAGGCTGAGCCGAAGCGGCGCCTCCCAGCACCGTTATTGTTGACCAAGTCGATACTCTACTCTAGGCAGAATCAGGATTAGGCATCCTGATCCTCAAGAGAGACAGTATTTAGTAACAACACTCCCTCTCGGGCTCTCCCTCTCACTACTACAACAGCTTTGCCATAGATCCAACAGCTCCCTCTAACTTTTGTAAAAGGCAAGAATTTTTGTCTAGAAGTAGTCAGCTTGTAGTAGGCATAAGCAAGATGCCTAATTTCTCTCTCAATTCAGCTATTTTGTGAGATTCTTGGAAGTAGTCAGCTTGTAGTAGGCATAAGCAAGATGCCTAATTTCTCTCTCAATTCAGCTACTTTGTGAGATTCTTAGAGTTTGAGTTTGGTCAAGAAATCTACTTCTCCATGTGTTAATATGTATTGAATATCAACGTGTCCTTGTGTCTTGAACAAAATGATAATGAATATCAATGTGCTTTGTATTTTTGTGCATAATTGAGCTATAAATCATCTTTATGCTTGATTTATTATTACTAAAATTTTTAGTAGATTTATTGGTTGTTATGTCCAATTCTTATATTATTCTTTGAAGTACTTAATATTGCTTGCAACATCAAAGGTGACTTTATATTCAACCTTGGCAATAAATTGTTACATATTAGATTGTAAATGGTTTAAAGCACCAATAGCAGCAATTCCAATTTTATACACAATACCACTTATTGAGTGTATGATATCTTTATTCTTCTTATAATTTGCATGTGCAAAAGTAGAGAAATCTAGAATGTTGTGTTTAAGAAACAAAATGCCATGATTTAATATATATTTTAATGAACATAAGACTTGTTTTGATATGTCCAAATATGCTTGTTGAAGAGTAATAACAAATTTGGAATAATAACCAATTGTAAATTTAATATTATATTACATTATTGTAATTCAATATAAGATTCCAACGAAAGCTTGATATTAATAAAGGTCATACTTTGGTGAGTTCATATTGATTGAGAGTATTAGCCTTGGATTTATAGGAATGTTTAAAGATTTATAATTGATTATGCCAAACTTTTCTAATGTTTGAATGGTGCACCTTTGTTGATGCATCTATAGTCCATCTTCTATTTTGAGGATTTTTGGTCTCAGATAGAATTTTATTTTTCCTAAATCCAATATTTGAAATCCAATCATGGATTCAAGCCAAGTCCATTGAATTTTAGCATCATGATTGCCAATAAGTAAAAGATCATAAATGTAAAGTAGAATCACAAATTTCTTTATAAAATAATTATATTATAATTTATTACATTTTTGACCAATTTCAAAATCATTAATATTCTATCTATTTTGCTATATTATGATTGCAAAGCTTATCTTAGTTTGTATAAGGCTTTGTAAAAAAGACATACCATGCCACAATTCTAATGAAATAAAAAATCTAGTTGGATCTTCATGTAAATTGTTCCATCTAGGTCTTTATTTTTAAAAGCTTCTTTTATATCAAGATAATCAATATTTTAGCATTTTGAAGCTATAAGTGCAAAAATTATCTTGATAATTTTCTATCCAACAATTGGTGCATAGCTTATAAAAAAATCAAGTCATTTTTCTTGTTTATTTTTTCAAACAACTAACTATATTTTATTTTATTTTTATTTTTGACTATTACGATTGTGTTTAGTTTTTAAAATCCATTTGGTAGAGATAGAAGTGTAATATGTAAGTAAAAATATATATTTTTTGATTTATATCTTGAAAAGAATTTTTTTTTCTTGTTCTATAGTTAATAGCTAATTAGGATCTTGAATAGTTATCTGATATGTATTAGATTCTATATTATGTTGGCACAATTGAGATAGTAGACTCTAAGTAGGAAATTAGAAGCTTAAGTTCTTTTAAATATTAGATTTTAGGAACTAGAGAAGTTTTAGAATTCATTAGAAATAATATAGAGGCAAGTAAGGGTATAGATTCAAATGTAGTGTTTCTTGTACTTTCAAGAGAATATTCTACTAAAGTACTTAGTTCACTAATAATTGACCTACAGTCTTAAAGTGACTTTATTGCAACATTTGTAGACTTATTGTCATTTTCTTGTATTACTCTACCTACTTTTAGTTCTTCATCAACCTCTCTTATTTCATAAGTAGGTATAAGAATGGAATAAAGATATTTTTTTTAAAAAATATAGGCTTTTAAAAAAATAGATCCATAATTTATAAGAATAGTCATTTATAAAAACTAATATGAATTAATATCTTGTAAATGACTTAACAAAAAGTACTCCAATGAGATTCGAGTGAATTAGCTCTAATATATTTTTTGCCCAATATAAAAACATTTAGAAAATTTCTCCATAGCTTGTCTATTTGATTAAAAAAAATTACAAATAAAATTCGAAAACCTTGATCCTAACCAAATCTATCAATTTTTGTAAATAATTTTTTTAATCTTTGTAAATAATTGATTAAAAATAAAAATTCAAAAACCTTGATCCTAACAAAATCCTAGATCAAATCCTAAATCCTAACCAAATTTTAATCCAAACAAATATTTGTCCTAATCCTAACCAAATCCTAATCCTAACCAAATCCTAATCCAAACCAAATCATAAATCAAACCAAATCCTAACTTTAAACCAAACCCTAATCAAAATTTAATCAAATTTTAAATCTCAAATAAAATTCTAACAATCTTACAATAAATTCTGAAATTCAATAATTAATATTTGAATCATTGATTTTAACTCAAATTTTACACATTCTTCACTAATTAAGTTAATAATAAGTACAAAAAAATTGAAGAAGATCAAAATTACCAAATAGATGATAATCTCAAAAATATGCTTGGGTATTGATTGGCATCCTTCTCCAAACTTGATGCCAATCTTCCAGTGCCAATTTCTCCTGATTGAACTATTATTTTGCTTCTCAGTTTTACATACTTGTTAAAAATCAAGTTGACCACCTCTATGAAATTTTTTTCTTCAATCTAATTGGCAGATTGACAATATCTAAGAAAATCTCATTGGTCCTCAAAACCTTAAATTTTGAGACCATAACCTACAAAAATCTTCATGTTTTTCAATCTAGCCATTTAATAAAACTCAAATTCACAACACACATCTTGCACAAATACACTCACAAACTCAAAAAATTTCACTTATAGATTTGTTACCAAACTCCTAAAAATACCTAAAATATAAATTCTATTTTATTTTCCAAAAATCAAAGTCACCAAAAATAACATAGACTTTGTAAAGCTCTTACAAAGTCATTAACTACTCAAATCCTCCAAAATCAATTCTTATAGAAATTCCATAAGTCTTCTTTCTAACTTCATTCTTTAATCAATAAAAGAACCCTCAAATTATTGTTGGGACTTAATTTTGTGCCTTAGGGTCTGTTTTCAACTTAGGTTCAAATGCTTCTACTTCTTGATTTCACTCAAGTATGTCTTTACAAGTCAAATATATAAATAAAACTACAACATGAAAGAAATCTTTAATGAAGTTCGGATAGTAATTGACAAATTTCAAAAAATATTGGATTTTTTTTTTTTTTTTTTTTTTTGAGATCTTCTAATCCATAATAATTTAAACTTTTTTAGAATCATTATGAGTCTATGATTTGAAATGATATATTTTAAGGAATTGACTTGAGTAATGTAAAATATAGACTTTTCTATCTTATTATGAAACCATACAACTTTTAATTTTTGTAACATATGACAAATATGAAGTTTATATTTTGTTATATTTTTAGAGTAGATTAATATGTTGTCTAGATAATAAATAACAAAATTTTCCTAAAAAATCTTCATAAAAATATTATTCATTAGATGTTAAAAAGTTGCTAGTATACTTGTGATGTTACGGACATCATCCTTAGAATCTTCTAGAGACAAGTTTCTAGAACCTTCTAGAAGTAAGTCTCTAGAACCTTCTAGAAGCTTCCTAGTTGATAGAAGTTCCTTGAGAAGCTTCCTGAATAGGAGTATATATTGGAATCGAGGCTGAAGAATTCTTCAGTCTCGACAACACATCTCTTGGAGCTCTAGCTCACCTCTCTGGTGTTGTTCTTGTATTCAACTGATTAATCTAGTTCTTGTCAGTTCTTCTTGAACTTCTTGTTAGATCTCGAGTTTGTATTTGTGTGTCCGTAAGAGTTTGTCAAGACTTCACTCACCTCATATATCAGAGCTAGTTTCTTCCTCATTAGAGTGTGGATTACCCCTGTGCTTGGAAATGTACTAGCATTTTAGAGGTTGCGGATTACCCTCCTCTAAACTGATACTTCTTTTGTTACAATATTGGAGTCTTATTCTTCTTGGAGAGAGTGGATTATTCCTTTTCTTCAAGCTCTTAAGGTATTTTAGAGGTTGTCGAGTACCCTCTTCTAAACCAATATTGCCTTCTTGTAGAGTCATTTCTGTCCTTCTCTTAGAATGGCCGGAGGCCAAGACATTAGTATGACAGAAAGTTCAGAATCCAAATTGGATGCTATCATGAATGCCCTCACTACGTTATCGCAAACAACTACACAGATTGAAGGAGTCGTGGCAAGGCTTCATAATAATGGAGCATCTGGGATGGCACAATCTAGGTTGCACCAGCCTCAAACTTCTGTAATTGGAGAAGCAATTTTGCCTCAGGTTCGACAAGCACTGCTGTCGTGTTCTAATACGAGTATACAGTGAAAATAAAAAGAAATGGGAATTTTATTAATATTCAGTTACCTCGAATATTGGGAGCATCGATCAACTCCAGTACAAATACTGAGTGGTCAGGTTCAGTCACTCCGTTACAATCAGCCGGGGCATACTGAACCGCTCCATTTGATTCCAATAACGGGAGTCAGTAGGAAGAGAAGGACCAATTCACACGATGGGTTCAAGGAGCCTATTGGATCCAATTTCGATAATCCAATCTGGGTCCTCTTATCCAATATGAGACCTGAATTGGCCGGTCAACCCAATGCAGTCTAATTACGGGGAATCCAGGTCTTACTACGGGTCTTAGCCAATCTGACGCGAGGACCAATTTGACCCAATTACGGGAACATCCAGGTTACTACGGGCATCTTTCCCAATATAGGACCTGAATTGGTCGGGCGACTCAATGTGGTCCCGATTACGGGGTTCGATTCTGTTTCGAGCTGTCCTGTTCTCTGGTCCGTTTCAAGGAACGTTGTTTACGGTAAATGGATCTCTTAAAGGTAAAAACGGAAGAGAAAGCTTGACGGCGAGAGCCAATTTCGGATCCAAGCTTGAGGTGGGAGCCAATTCTGGATCTAAGACGGAAGATTGAAGAAATTCAGAGGTTAAGGTTAGAGGGGATATAGTTTTGAGGGGGGAGGTTTTTTTTTTTCGGGGGTTTTTTGGATCAAGGAGCTAGCTTCAAGCTCTTTTTAAGGTTACTAGTTCGGT